TATTTATTCTGAATGGGAATCGAACCCACGATCTCTGACTTAGCAGCAGTCAGGACCACTAACAACTAAACCTACACGCCCATGATGCCCACCCCTTAGGCATTTACCTAATATGGTGTCGTATGAATATGGTGGGCTATGGCATTTAAATTGTAGTATCGTATTAAATAATTACGTAAATAGGAGGGATGCAGTATAAATATACACCTATTACAAGGTAATTAGAAAAAAAACAATGTACAGCTTAACTTGTCTTTATTTAAAATCATTATAAAAAAAAATAGCATAAAATCGTATATACTTAATAAAATGTAGTTTAACTGTAAATGGCGAACACTTATGAGTACACTTACAACTAAAAGCGGGCGGACACCAGCATTGACATAAAGCCCACGTTAAGGCAGCATCAAGTTTATAAATATCATCTAAATATATGTAGGTACTTATATAATTTTATTAACAACATCAAGTCAATATATCTACGGAAGAAAGCAATTTTATCGTATCTCGAAATATCCAATTTTCATTAGTGACCAAAAATGTTTATAAAAATTGAAACTCGTAAATATTTTCGTATAAAATTTAGAAAAGTTTACAAAATAGTCATTGTCTCATCGTTACCTTTGCCCGTCGTAGGAAGACATGACATAGAGTCTTTGTCATGTCTTCCTATGCCGAAAAAAGTTAGGTTAGATTAGGCCTTTTTCTGATTAATTTCTTAGGTAGATACGACATTCCGCTTACTGCCGACACTATATTTCAATAAAGGGCACTATACTTTATCACTACCTAGAATACTATTGTTTATAACAAAAAATATCGTATATATTTTTCATTGTACTTAATGTTCCCTTGACACGTTAATCATAAAATATAATTCTTTGTACGTTTGTCTCTTTACAACAACAATAATTGCTCCGTAGTCAAACTTTAATGTCTGAAGCGATTAAGTACGCAGGTACGTATTACGTATTCATTTCCGAGTTCAAAATAAAAGGCCCACTAATATACCATGTGAAATAAAATAATAATTGGACAGTGTTGTGCAGAAATGATCAGAAATTATGATTTACAAACTGGCCAAAATTGAATTATTATATTATATAGTAAAATATCAAAAATTGTCTACATTTATTATCTTTTCGAAAAATAGCTTTTTATAACGATGTAGTTTTTTTTAATTATTTATAACAACAAATTCATTTGAACAGTTTGTGTGTTGATTGGTTTCTGCATAACACGATTCAATTATAACCTCGCACCACGACACACTGACATGAACTGGTGAATACGTTTTTTTTGTTTGAGTTTAAACTAAGCAATATGGACATAATTACCATATATAATTGTTATTAAATACGTTAAGTCATCTAAGTATATGTGTAGGTGTGGGTGTGTGTGTGTGTGTGTGTGTGTGTGTGTGCGTGTGTGTGTGTGTGTGTGTGTGTGTGTGTGTGTGTGTGTGTGTGTGTGTGTGTGTGTGTGTGTGGTTAAAATGGAACGACATGCATCGAAAAATGTGCTGAACACCTGATTTTTGTGAGGCCGTGATTTCACTATATATATGGTATATCACACCGTATGGCCCGTACGTGTCAAAGAATTGCTCTACCACGGTAATATAATCCTCACGTTGTATGACATAATAATAATAATTTTAGAAAATAAATGAGTAGCTGCCAAATACACCGTGTCATCATTATACATTACAGTAGTAAGCGAGAACCTTTATTGATTACACCAATAGTTTATTCCTAATCAAATATATATGTAGTATACAAAATATTTTGAATAAATATAACTTTTATGTAGGCACTCATTTTGTCTTAGTTTAAATTTGTAAAGAACTGAACCGACCATGTTTAAAACTAGATAAGAGACTGTAATACAGCTCTCCTATGTTTTAATATCATATTTTCTATACTTTTTTTAGTTTCAACAAGATTCATATGAACACAATAATCGTGAATAGTCTAAGAGCCCCCTCTAGCAGTCTGTTTTTTTTTCTTTAACGAGCAGATACCTGCAACTCACGTGTTACAGCGGCAACCATTTGAGTTTTGTTATAATTATAAGTTTTTAATTAGTTTCTATACATGTTGCGATTGTTTACATACAATATGCCATTACATTGCTACACTTGGAAGCGCTATTACATATAAATATATAAATAAAACATTCATAAAACTTAAACTTTCACTCATTCATTTGTGGTTTTTATTACATCATTTTGTTTTCTGATGGAAAGTGACTATCGCCGCCCATGAACATCTGCAACTCAGGAGTCACAAACGCGTTGCCGGCCTTTTAGGAAGGAGTACGATCTTTTCTTGAAGATTTGAAGGTCGTATCGGTCCGGAAATACCGCAGACGTTAACTTGTTCCGCAAATTGGTTGTGCGAGGAAAAAGTGTCTTAAAAAGCGAACAGTAGTGGAGCGCTAATTATCCAGGTGATGGGAATGAAAATTTTGCCGTGTGGACCGATGGCGTAAAGTTGCGGCCGGTATTAGACCGAATAATTCCTCGGAGCACTCTCCATGATAGCCACATCTCTACGTTCTATCATCTCTATTGTTCATATCTATTGTTAAGTTTATATAGGCTTGCAAGCAAACAATCAGAGATATTAACTTCAAGTTATTTAAACAAAACTTTAACAAGCTAGTTATTGAAAAAAAATACCGACTACGTGAAAATGTATACTTAAAATTTACAAACCGGCGATTTTAACTTTTATAATTTGCATATACCCAGTGTTAAGGTAGCATTCAGTTCTTAGCGAACGCGACAACGCGACCCATAGCTTTCCGATGTCATATTCGCGACGCGAAACCGCGAAGCATTGAATCCCTTTGCAGTGCGATATGTACGAAAACTTTGCCGTAGCTAGGAAAAAAGGTATTCAGCAGCTTTTTTTGGAGCATGAAGACGATGATGATAATATTATTATCTTATTATCTATGCCGCCGGCAAAAAGAATGAAAATTGACTCAGTTTTCACATCACGAGAAGGAGAGAGTTGCTTTTTATTCACCAATTCAATCAATTTCTCCTCCTCGTTCAGTGGAAACGCCGCCATTTTAATGCGTTACTCAGCTGCGTCACGTGACTGCACTGCCTCTGGAGCGATCGGGTCGCGATCGTCACGCCGAACTGGCCACACCTACCACACACACATGTGGAACCGAATGTACTCCATATAAATTGTCATACAAAGCAGTGGGTCGCGCGTCCTAGTTGAGGTCGCGGGTAGCGGTCGCTCGTCTCGGTCGCTAGGAACCGAATGCTACCTTTAATGTTTAAATGATTAACAATTGTTGAATAGAATAAGGATGTCTATTAAGTATTATTTTCAAAATAAATTCGCTTACAAATAAAAACGTAATACAAAACAAAAAAAAATAACAAAGAATTGTTTTGTATACTTGCGGATTTTGACTAATCATATTAGTATCGAATACAAAAGTTACAGAAATAAAAAAAAAATGTAGTTATATAAATAAAAAAACGTCATATTCAGAAGAAAAACATGAAAAAAATATCTTAAGCGTTAACAAAATAGAAAAATAGCTGTAACTTCGAAAACAATTCTAAATAATTTACACTAACTTAACAAGAAAAAATATTTTTTTACTTAATATTACTCTTTCAAAAACAGAGGGTACCTGTAAATGTTTGTACTTGTGCAGTGAGATTTCATAAGTATGACAGTTACTATCATCTATATATATATATAAGACATTTCCACTATATGTAGTCTTTACTAGTACTATATATATAGTCCCTCATCACGATATCTCTGGACCCATTAGAGCTAAAGACTTGAAATTTGGTAGGAATATTCTTTTCACCGAGTAGAGGTCAGCTAAGAACGGATTTTAAGAAATTAAAAAAAAAAATTAAAATAAATAAATAATGTAAATAGCAAAACAACGTTTGCAGGGTCAGCTAGTGTTATATATAGGAACGCAAAAAAAACGAAGACATTTTCATCTTTTTTAGCGTCTAAGGAGACCAGGGCTAGGACAGAAAGATATCAGAAAGCAGATTCGGAACGTTAAACGTTAACGTCTCGAAGGACCAGATAGACGTTAGGAGTCAGTGTCTTTCACATACACGTGTTACAATTTTGAATATATCAAGTAAATATATTATTTCTGTCTTAGCTGCTATGAACTTATCATGTAAATTGTAAGTAATTTTAACATCGCATTTTGTGAACTTTACGCGATGGCTCGAAGGACCAAAAAAAGTGACATAAAACACGTCACTGGTCACTGTACTTAATATATACGCGTTAGAAGTATAGTATGATAAACATGTATTATATATGCAGCTATTCGTGGCCACATAGGTATATGAGAATCCAACTTAAACGGAAATGTATGACACATCCTCGCAATGTATTGTGTATATGTCTCAAGGTGTCAAAAGTAGGTAACATTTACGCTAGTCTCGTGTTGGCAGAAAAAATACTTTATATTTATACTTAGTTAAGGAACAATTAAAATACGTTTTATAGTGGTAGTTACAGTAATAGGTAGGTTTCTCTTCAGTGTTTACGAATTGAGGGTCGCACACCGTATAGGCGGAGTTATTTGTGCTGTGGTATAATGTTGCTCGAACGATCCCCTGAAATAGAAGTACATTTGAAAAAAAAATACACAAACGCGAACAGGGATTTAGTAACTAACATACATACACTCATTCATATTTTTTTATTTTATTTATGAAATTTGGTAACTGCCATATTGGCATATATTGCCATATTTATTTATCAGATTTGGTATATAACGTCGCGCCAACATAAAATCAACATTTTGCACAGGAATGCAAAAGTCGGGGCAATGGGGTTTCATAGTGTAATTGCCTAATTGGGGGGTAAGTAGGTAACGCAGTGGTGAAAATACCACTCTGAATACACCACAATTCGTAGAGAACATTAATTCAGAATTCAATATATCAAGCAACAACGTAGACTTACCCATGTTGCATGACTTTAAAGTTGTGGTGCTGAAGGTGCTCCGTAGGGACTCGACGGAGGGCCGGTGGGCTGTAATTAATGTTTCACAATGAGTGACAAAAAGCTGTGGCTCAACGCACAGTATTTCAAGAGACCTTAAAATCAGACATGCTCGACATGCTCATTTTAGAAATATTATAGAATAATTCCACATAGTTTTCTAAACTAAAAATGTTTAATTAATAAATTTTTACCTATATATATTATTTAAAAACCAATAGCATTAAAATCGACAACTCTATACTATTTTATAGGCCCCTTAGAAATACACGTAATAAGCGTTTAATATGCGTCGTAAATACCTGTAGCTACACAGGATAAATATTTTTCCTTATTTCAGTGTTTTTTTTTTACTCAATCTCACCAGGACATATGCAAACTTTTTTTATTGCTACACGTACCCTGATATGTATTCTAGTAGTATATACAAAATTAGCTTCAAATTCCGTGATATTTGAGAAAAGATAAATTGAAAATCTACATCAGGGCTGTCACATTATAAGACATGTTCGCCTGTCACTTTTAAAATATTTTGTTTTACTAAATTCTATTTTTATTTTGTTAATGCTTTACAATACTGTGCAATGATTTATACTTTTAATTCATAATAATAAGATGAGACATCTCATACACCGCTTTTAGATTCCAAGCTAGGCAGTGCACAGTAAGGGTGCGCCTTTCCGTGAAGGAGTCAGATGCACCACTGGCAGGATAATGGGATGCATCTGATGCTTGCAATAGGACCTCCGTCGGGTGCCGTTGCCGCCCTTCGAGTCCTCTCCCTCAGAGTCAAGAGGGTGATTACTCAAAGCACCAAACAAATGTTATGTCATGTGACATTTCAGCCGTATCGTTATCGTATTGCCAACCCAATCCTTCAATTTAACTGTTTTGTCTGCTGCCAAAGAACACCTGGAGCGAGTTGCTAGGTTAGTATTAAATAGTTGACTTACGTAGGGTGTGTTGGATCCCGGCGGCAAAAGCGGTGAGCTGGCCCCATCACCACTCACTACGAAGCCGAAGTTTCCAGTTTTGACTAAATTAGATGTAGTGACAGCTGGATTAGTCACAGGCTCTGGACCAGGATAAGGAGCAGGGACCGGTTGAGGTAGATTCCCAGCAGGGAATGGAGAACCACTATTATTGTAGGGGGTGACGTTTGGGTAAGGCTGATTTCCTTGCGGAGGGTAAGGTTGATTGGGATAAGGCTGATTTCCTTGTGGGGGATAAGGTTGATTAGGGTAAGGCTGATTTGGGTATGGCTGATTTCCTTGGTTAGGGTAAGGTAAGTTTCCTGGATAGTGGTAAGGTTGGTTTCCTGGGTTGGGATAAGGCTGGATCCCTGGATAAGGTTGCTGTCCAGGGTAAGGAATATTTTGTTGGTAGTTGCCATTAGGCTGAGCCGTAATAGCTTGTGGTTGGTGGATGATTGCTGGAGCAGGATAGTAGTTGCCGCCTTGTATGTTTTGACCCGGCATGTTTTTGGGCATTTGGTCCTGCTGTGGGTTGGGTACATTATCCTGGAAGCCCACCAGTGGAATATTGCCAAATATTATGGGTTGAGTCTCATCAGCGTCTTCGTGGCAACCGCTGACTTCTATTGACAACTGAAAGAATGAAAAATATTTTATACGACTTTTGGGTACCGTCACGGTTTATTTCTTTATGTTTTGCATGAGCTGAAGAGCTATATCATATGACCTTTTAGATTGAGCCAATAGTATGTAGAAACTGTGTAAAAACAGTAAATTTAATAACACAGTGTATCGACCACCATTGTGGACTCCTAACGGTGCAATAGGGTAGATTTCTCGGTTTAAAAAAAAATCGCCTGAGTCATTAAATGTACACGTAACATTGTTTACAAGTAACATTAATATCTTAAAGTACAGTCTGAATTATTCTTCATTATCAATTGATTTTTTTGATATCTTCAAATCAACCTTAATTATAAATGACGGCTTCGCACGGGTGCAATGTAGATACTACTAGGTAATCTTTCATCATCATCAACAGCCTATACTAGTCCACTGCTGGACATAGGCCTCTCCTTAGAAAGGAGGTTTTGACCTACTGTACCACGCTGCGTAGTTTACCCCCTCTTACGACACCCACGGGATGAACAGGGGTGGTGACACTCCGTATTCTTAATCCGTCACCACACGGACTGAAAATCAGCAGAACCAAAACTGAGTACATGTTCTGCGATTTCGGCGGTCTCTTACGTCCTGAAACCATTTCGCTGGATGGGATAGCGATAACAGTCTGCTCCAATTTCAAGTACCTCGACTACCTCTTACAATGTGATGGTGAGATCAATCGAACTGTACAGCATGGAATCAATACGGGATGGATGAAGTGGCTGCAGGTAATGGGAACAATTTGTGACCCTAGTTTCCCTTTAACGCTGAAGGGACAAATTTATAAAACTGTCATCAGACCTGCCGTCCAGTTCGGTTCTGAAAGTTGGCCCATTAAGAGAACGGATGGGAGACGCCTGAACATAGCCGAAAAGCGAATTCTGAGATGGATGTGTGATATGACTCGGATGGACAAGGTTAGGAATGAGTATATACGAGGGAGTCCGAATGTAGCGCCACTGGATGGCTATACTTTTTTTATGGAACTGCGTTCCTGGTGAAATTAATACGCGAGGAGTACGACAGTTTTCAGTGATTCATGCACAGTTGCTCCTGCCCCTCGTGCCTGCCCCGCCTCCATCGCATGTCTAGTTTATTCACTGTTCCGTGTTGTATGTAAAGATTTCACAATAAATATGCGTGACCTCACGCCATAGTATTTCATACCAAAATGTAACGCGTCTATCGTTAAAAGATACTATTCGTTCTAATAAAATATACTGATTTGACTTGACAGTCAATTTATTTTTATGGAATAGGGGGCAAACGAGCAGACGGTCACCCGATGGAAAGCGACTACCGCCGCCCATGAACGCCTTTAAGTCAAGAGTCACAAGCGCGTTGCGAGCCTTCGAGGACGGAGTATGCTCTTTTCTTGAAGGTTCGAAGGTCATATATAGGTACCCCATGCCGTTGAAACGTCGAATTTTCAAAAATATTTCATACCTTTAGTTTAATTATAATTTACTAATTAGATACGCATCTATATAATTTCGGAAAGTTTAAAAACAATAAAAAGGTGTACTTTACCTTGAAAGTGTAGCTGACATCAATATACTTGCAGGCATCGAAGTTATATATCTCCATGGCTGGGATGGGCATCTCCAAGTTCCATTCAGGAGTGGTGCCGCTCGCCACAAGGCCTTTCTTGATTTCAGCCACTATGTACGTGTTTGTGTGGACGTCAGGTCGCGAAACTGCCTCGAATCTTATCTCCTGGAAACGGTTCAATTTTATTCTTATACACTCCTAATACATTAGTTAAGACTTTGAAAAATTAGATACAATTTTTCGATCAAACGATTTTCAAAAATGTGGATACAACTTATTAAGAGCAAAGAGAAAAATAAATAAAATATCTGACTAAGAAAAAAATTCTAACCACTCTTCGTTCGTTCTGGTCATTTTATACATACATATAAACAATAAAATGTCTTCTGTCAGTGCACCTGTGTTTATAAAATACGTACAAAAAATAATAGATACAACCTCACACATGGCTGTCTGATCCCAAGCTAGGCAGAGCCTATGCTATGGTGACCAGACCGCTAATGTATATTTCTAATTATAATATACATTTTAAAGATAAAATATAATCATCAACAGCCTTTAACAGTCCACTACTGGACATAGGCCTCTCCTTAGAAAGGAGGTTTTGGCCTACTATACGACGCTAGGTTGGTATAGGGTTTGATTCAAGTTTTCCTTCTCTTTGCAGTGCTGTTGTCCTGCGCAGTTTGTTCCCTTAGTCGTCTCTTACGATACCCACGGGATGAATAGGGGTGGTGACACTCCGTATTCTTAATCCGTCGCCACACGGACAAAAATCTATATCTCTGTATCAAAATATAATAATAACAAGTATATCATAGAATCGAATGATAACTTCACGATGTGATCGACTATTTCATGATAATGATGATGATTACTATTTCATCATTCATCAAATATTTTACATAAACATAGTAGACTCTTACTAATGAGTAAATAATACTTAATAGCTTACCCTTTTAATAGTCATCTTTATCTCATCAATGTCTACACGACTAAGGTTTGAGACCTTGACTTCGAGCGGTATGGTCTGACCGGGACAGTACCCCCCCACTGGCATATTAACTCGAACCTCGGAGGAACCAGCAGCTGCGCACCAACAGCAGTAAGAGTTTATTAGCTCCAGGTGTAGAGGTTCCTGAAAATAATAATTATTTTTTAGGAATTTTAGAAAAATGAATGGATAGATGGATGATTTAGACAGATTTAAGACGGTTACTCTTATTAAGTGTATAGCATAAGATGAAGAACTAAAGGAGTAGACTTTGAAGGAGGAAGAAGAAAGTGCGATAAGAGTTGAACAGTAAGGTTTAATCACCGTTTGCTATGCTTCGGCACAAATGGGCCGGTTGCAGATGTGACCACCAGACCTTGCACCTACCGACTATTACTTGCTCCAAAATTTAGACAACTTTTTAGTGGGTAAAAAATTCAATTCCCGAGAGGCAGTACAAAATACCTTTGAAGAGTTTGTTGCCTCCCGTCCAGCTGATTTTTACAAGAAGGGCATCAATAAACTGCCAATGCGTTGGCAAAGATGCGTCGATTGCATGGGTGATTACTTCGAATAACAGAAATAAAAAAGTTTGAAAAAATAAGTACTTTCACTTATTGCATACAAAACGGCAATTTCATAGGTAAAGACCTAATATAAAAATTATTAAAATCGCCAGTTTGTAAATTTTAAATGCCTATACATTTTCACGTAGTCGGTTACTTTTATTTATTTAAACACAGCAACTAAATTATTCTCTCAATTTACGACACTTGTCGGCTCTTTTTATAAAAAACCTAAATACCTCATTAATTCGTTAAACGAGCAAAACATCCAAGGTCACCAGCTAACGCTGGTCTCGACTATTGTAACATTGAGCGCCACACATGCCGCATTCAACACAACACAGACACAAAGCTATAAATTAGGTCACGTTTCATTCACTCGTACACAATTGATAACAACTATTATGTTAAGAAGATTCTTATCGGCATTAAAATGAATGGAGAACATTAGAACAAAGTATTATATTACTTCCTTTCTAGCTAACCAGTTACTGGTTGTACCAGACTTGGCTTCAAGAGTCATGAAGTGTTTATGTCGTAGTCGAAACGATTAAAACCAAATGGTGTTTATAAAATCAAATCCTTTTACCAGAAAAAGCATAGTATATCGTCCTCGGGCCCAGGACCTTTTTTTTAAATTACTAACGCGCAAACCTGTGTCTTTTTTGGGTTAAAATGGACCAGATTCAATCGACCACAAGCTGAAACCTCCGCTAAGGAAGTTACAACTTCAGACACAAGTTTCGTTTCGACTCTCGATGACGTTTTACCGAGAAATATTGGGACGCCGTTATAAAAGGCATCTCCCGTGCTAGTATCTGCATAGCAATGGCTGTCACTAGTTCGTAACATATCATGGATATGTGGCATTATGTGACATTATGTATGTGTAAATACAAATACATAATTCTCTAATTCTTCAATAAGTCTGTGCATTAAAATACGATACATATGTTTCTTTATTTATACATAGTTCATGTCTAGATCGGGAATGGATCGATTGTTCACACCAAAATAAGATGAAAAAGTGAGTTATATAGCAGACAGGGCGTGGCAAATTTTATACCGTGCTACCGCATACCACATACTAAATATTTATAGGAATGTAAGCTAATTTGAACTTTAATACAGGTAGTCTATAGTTTATATTACTTTAAAAAGCACATGTACTTACCTTACAGAAAGGGTTCAGATTTAAATCAACTGGCACAAACACTCTGAAAGCGGCCATTTTCTCTTTATTCGACGAGAATATCCCAGACGTGACCATGACGGCTTTGACACGGTACCGGATGTGCCCATCGTCGGCTTCGAAGGAAGATGGAATGTTGATCGGAAGGGGAAAGTCGAAGTTGAACTCATGGTGACCTGGCTGCAACTGATGATCGCCTAAAATCAACGTTCTTGAATTGATAAAGGTTACATGTTTCAGCATACACTTGAGGTCGCATCCTGGAAATGCAAAGACTTTGTCAAACATTAAAGCACATATTTATCCAAGCGCGGCGTTATAGAGAAACGCCTTAATGCTATACAATGTAAGTGCAAAATAAAATCCAGTGATTGGTGTCTTGTCTGTTTGGGGTGAGTGCGTCTTTGTATGTTCAGATAAACTCTAGAATAAGGGCACATCTGTCTGCTTACAGAATAGGGACGGTGTTAGCATAGTGACTGTAAGTAACTGTTCATGGCGAAACAAAAATCCTAAATATAAATATGGGACAATGATTCATGATTATATTTTTTACTATACTAATTAATGTCGGTATTTGTTTGCCTTTCTGCGTTGATTCCTAAGTACGCATGACTGTGCCCTTACGTTTCTCTGTTGTCCTCTATTCGCTCAAGGTTTGCTGGAAGAAAACTCATCATGTCTTCTGCTTGCCGTGAATATTTTTAATCATTTCCATTCGTATAAACCTTGTCCAGACAAACAAACGCAATGAAAAAACAGCCAAATAGGTGCATCCGTTTTGAAGTGATGCACTTACATACAACTAGAAATTTATTATTAAACCTAAACCTATCTCTGTGTCGCAATTCGTAGGCGCTGTCGAAGTCGCATGTGTTGCGCCCATTTATCATGCGATCGACCCGGCACCCGTACGGTAAATCCATGGAACGCTAAGAAATAGGTCTCTTTATGTGAACAGAAGATGAGATCACTAGACACGCTGTCGTGTATTGATATAAAACATTTCTGAATATATTGCATACTTTTTTTTAAAGACAACTCTCGCACTAGGAATAGATCCAAGGTCGCGGGGGACTTTACATACGTACATGAAATGAACACGAAGATCACCCAGACTCGGCACAACAATTTATGAATCACGCAAAGAATCGTCGAACCCAGAACACTCAGCGCACGGATGGCGTAGTGGTTTAGTTTCAACGAGTTCATTCAATTATTTCAGGGCGTTCATTCAAGTATTTCAGGGCACGAGTATGGGCAGAATGCAATCCAGCTGGGAATTGGTCTACTGAGGAATCACTTACAAACTTACACCAACAGCATACATGTTATGAAGTAACCACTTTGATGACAGTTCAATGCAAGTGCAATAAATATGGCAGCAAGCATGACAAAAATTCGCTTTCTCCGAGTCCAGGTAATAATTACGCGCGAATCGAGTAAATTTTTACCATATTTTTCAAACAAAACACGATGATGTGGAATTGTCTAAATTAACTATTAGAAAAATGTATGTAACTAAGAAATCCAAACGACAATGCAATAAGAATTGCAGTAATAAATTGTTTTCACTGTCTTATCAGATATTTTCAACTTAAATGCAGCTATCTATTACTAGAATTCTTTTCTATCTGACAGTAAATAAATCCTTTGCAACCATACTTATTGCAAAGGATTACTCTTTTTGTAGTTTATGATGAAAATCTACTGTTATGCTGTCTAAGTGTTGGTCTTCATCCTAGACGTATAGCATCTCTTCCCTTAGCTCCCTCATGGTACGGCACGTGAGAGAGTCATGATTCGGCACAAATAGGCCAGCTCGACCGGAGTATTTTTCAAATTCAAAAAGAATTAGGGGGTTGGGAAACGTAGTTCTAGCTCTTGAATTGCGGATGGGACATTTCAATTTTAAAGACGAAAGATGTTTTATTAAAAAGTTGCCTACTCTACTAAAAAGTAGACGATTGGGTTCACTGATCATCATGCACCATAGTTTGGACTAGCTCTTATTCACGAACTAGAACAATGCGCCACAGTTTTATCTGCGTTTATACTCACTGCTCTGCTCCTACGAGTCGTAACGTGATTTTACATAACTTATGACAATCCCTAATTTAGAAGTATAGCATTATTTTCCATGAGAAAGAATTAAAATCTGACTGATAGTTTGAAAGAGTAGCACAGTTTTTTTTTTATGTTAGAGGCGGCAGATGAGCAGACGGGTCACCTGATGGAAAGTGACCATTGCCGCCCATGAAAGTCTGCGACTCAGGAGTCACAAACGCGGTGCCGGCCTTTTTGGAAGGAGTACGCTCTTTTCTTGAAGGTTTGAAGGTCGTATCGGTCCGAAAATACCGCAGATGATAACCCGATCCACAGATTGGTTGTACGGGGCAAAAATTGTCTCGAAAAGCGCACAGTAGTGGAGCGCCAACTATCTAGGTAATAAGGATGAAAATTTTGCCGTGAGGAAGGATGGCGGAATGTTGCGGCTGATATTAGTCCGAACAGTTCCTCGGAGCACTCTCCATGATATATGCGATAGAGAGTGCAGAGTGAAGCTACATCTCTACGTAACGTCAACGAATGGAGCCGGTCGCAAATCTTTTGGCTATCGACGATTCGATTCGCTCTTCGTAGGAAACATACAAACAATAATAATAATCTCACCCATCAGTCGTCACACACAGCCGTCACTGCCCTGTTTCTAAAAGCAGTAACGTTATGTTACATAGCGTATAATCAACCTCAATAAACAAAGAATTTTTAAATAACAATAACATTTTCGGAGGCCGTGGGACATAATTTAATATTTAAATAAATATTAAATAGAATTTTGGAGGCATGGAATAGCTGCCTCCAAAAATGTAAGGTAAGATTTTTTATTCCTCAAAATGTAAATATCAAATCGATCTAATTAAAATAAAAAACATGTAAAAATCACGTTAGAGTTAGTGTCGTTTTAATGGTATTTTCGTTTTTTGACAGGGGTCAGCAATACCCCATACTACAGTTACCATTTTCCACCAAATAAGACGTATGCTTGTTTGCAAATAAGACGTATGCATATTTGACTAAATAAACAAAAATGAATGTTTATGAAAACACATATGTATTTTGTTCTGACTTTTCCATCTCTATTTAATGGAATATGTCACAAAACGTCATTTTTGCTGCTGACGTTACTCTGTCAACGTTGGAGGCGGTGCGACATAAATTAATCCATTTTTTTTCAACGGCAACAAGGGGCCCACACCTAAAAAATAAAGTTTATGGTAGCAGACTGGTTTCCATAGTACAAGCTCTGCGTTTTTTTGATCAGAAGGCGGTCTATAATAATAATGTACTTGCAATAAAGGTCTATAATAATTATTAGTATAATTATGTTTTAGTAAAGATTTAGTGATTGGAATTTGAAAATTCGCAGAACCACAAACTTAATTTTAGCTGCATATGGATAAAACAACAACTAAAGCAAAAGCAAATGCCCAGTAACAATTATTATTATTATAATAAATAAAATTAATTTGATAACAATCCAAACAAAAAGGCCGCAACTAAGTCTTCATGGTTACATTTGTGCGTGCTTCAGACACTTGCATAAACGCTCTTATTAGTAATACTCGAGTTTCTTCCCTATTTTATACTGAACAAGGTTCTATTTTATTTGTCTTAAAATCTGTGTCGACCAAATTCCAAATTTAAAAATGGCGGGCCGAACAAGGTCGCTGTGTTCTCTGAGCGGAAACTATAGGATAGGATAACTATAGTTTGACAAAAGCGTAAAAAATCGTTAATGCATACTTAAGTGGTTGCGTAGACATGGCTCTTAATGCCTATGTGCAGATATTTAGGTAGGCGATTTTTTGACTTAGGCTTCATCGGCCTTTTTAACAGTAATGTTAAGTTAGTTTGGGCCCTTTTATGAGTTAACAACTTACGTGGACATCATGAAATTTTATACAAACGGGAAATAGGCACAAAATACAAAACAGTATGAAGAAGTTCGATTTTTTTCAAAAAGTCAAGGCCTTCTAGTACTTTTTGGCTTTGGATAAACAGTGAAGTCCTTGATGAAGCCTACACTACCGGTGTTTTTGTATTGTTATAGCAAACGATAAATCGATTCTTTCGTTGGTTTTTAATTCGAATCCGACGATCAGTAGGTACATATCTCATAGAAGAACGCCAAGCATAGTTTTTTCCCTGTCCTGGTGCACAACTTTGAACCATTTCTAAAGAGTCACTTTATTTACCAGTGATTCAGTACTTCTTATCTCTTACAGATAAAAACTAAATAAACCTTGTGTAGGTACTCCCTGTATCTTTATTTAAACATATAAGTGAACTACAAAATTATATATTTATAAAGAACGCAATAAAATAGACGCCCATAATGGTCGACCTTCGAGGCCATACTGGATGTCTGATGCCGGCATTTTAACTTAAATTTTACATATATTTATATTCTAAACTACTTGCACTATTCCTCCTTCCCTCACGTACGCTTACGTAATACTTTTGCGTAAGCACTAGAGGAGGGACTTGCATTGTTTATTTCTAATGTTATGGGGGTCAGTGGCTTGAATAGCGGTTACGTTATAAATATTTAGAACGCATTTCCTGTTTAATATAAAGCAACTTTTATTTACTTCACCGTTAATATAGGAAATCATAGGCAAGTTGGCAACACTTGCAAGCCGTGTGTAACTGATCTCGATACCGCATTCGATGTAATAAATAGACCAATTACTATGTACCTACTCGTACAAAGTATGTGGCTTGTATTCTCGTACCACAGAATGTATTAATTTGCACGAATTCCGATGCTCGGTGCGTGTATTTTTACCTAACTGTGCTAGAAGGAGGGTTTTGTCTTTCGAGTGTATGTATAAATGTATATTTCTTTGACTGATTAAGAGTGTCACCACCCCTGTTCATCCCGTTATAACAACAGAACTACAAAAAGAAAGAAAACCTGAAACAAACCCCATACCAACCCACGAAATTGTATGCTAAACTCTCCTTCAAGGCTGCTGATATTAGATTTAGCTTTATTGCGAGGGTGACACTGAAAATCCCCATAAAATCTTTCGTTTGTAAATTTTAATTACCAATACATTTTCAGGCTGGATTTTTTGTCTTTTTACACTAATCAGCTTTTAAACATAAGTAATAATATTAACAGATAATA